ATAAATCATTCCCCTTTTTCATCATTGCCCTCAACTCTGCACTTTTAGTCTGCCTTCCTTATGAGGAAACACATTTTATTTCTTTAATACTAAAATGGGATCAGAAGGTGAGTTAGAAGGCGGGATATAATGGGAATTGGACTGGGCTTGGGCTTGCCGAAATGGGTTTCATGGGTTTTGACTTGGCCTTAAGAGCTGAGGCTTGAATTTCAAGCGGGTGTAGGGGGAGTTTGGGTTCGCAATTGATGCCCAACCTGCTCATCTTCTACAACTTGTGTCATTTGAACCCACTCTTTTCCACATTTTTGCAATCTTATCCCTACACAATAAAGCTTGCAATTTTAAACTTTTTCAATTAAGTACAAAAATGCAAATAATTCTATTTAATCTTAATTTTCCTTTGACATATTTTTTGAATTAATTTCCCACATCAAATTAAAGCACAAATATTTCAAAATTTGTTATTTAAAACATAAAAATTTGTGAGAAATTTATACCTTAGCAAAAATTGAGATTTTGCCAAAAGCACTAAAAAAGGCATGACAAAAATCAAGTTATGACAATTACTAGATGAGGGTTTTCTAATAATTTTGAATTAATTGTTACAACATTTGTTGTAAAAAATGTGATTTGCAATGATTTTTTTTTTTTTTGAGTAAGGTGGTTTGTGATATTTTTTTTATTTCTTGACTGTACAATAAAATAGTAAGACACAACTCTGTTAATCACTCCACTTATATGCTATACAATTCAAATTCAAGATCTCTTACTTCTATTAAAATTACTACTGAGTTATGATTTTAGTTGTTGTTTAAACATTTATTCCAAAAAAAAGAAGGTTGTTTATGAAATAGCCTTTGGTTACAGTATCATTTAATGTGAAAATATTGATTATCATAACAATTAATTTTGTTACAATATTATTTTAGAATGAAAAAGTGTAGTGCAATCAACTGCAATCTATTAACTATTAGATGGGGGTGAGTTCCCTAATATTGAGAGTCCTCCCCCCAACCAATAATTTTGTTTTACAGTTTGATACAATTACAAGATTCCCATTTTAAAAACAATTGGGATTTTTTAACCTATAGTGCATAGTGAGCATTAAATAGACTATCAAAACCTTATTAAAGTAATATTCTATTATGGATTTAGTGGCTGTTTTAATTGTGGGTTATCTACTTTTTATTAAGACTGAAATGCTCTCATTTACTTCTACTATGCAGACTTTTTTTTTTTTTTTTCTTATCCCTCCTTCTCCGTTTGCCTTCTTCTCTCTCTTGCTGCCCCAATGTTTCCTGATTGAAATCATTCTCTTATGGTAAGACATCAAAATCAATTTACATTGCAACTCAAAATACAAAAATTGAAGAACACGGTGTGTTAATAACAAAATCCCATCAAGAGGAGAACAAGGCATTAAAGGATATGGTGGAGTATAACTGTGAGAAAAAGCTAGCAAAGGGAATAACGAAAGATTGGAGAATTAAAAATGCAAAGTTGCTTTTTCAAAAATCAGTCAAGTTGCTAATTGAATTCAAGATTCCAACCATAATTGAGGATTTAAGAAGAAGTAGAGCTAGGGGTGGGCAAGGTTCTGATTAACCGACCAAAAACTGAATAATGAACTGACGTTGGTCGGTGTTTTAACCGAAATTTTGTGTTCGGGCCGAAGAGGTGTGGTTTCGGTTTAAATCTGAATTCTAGTTGGGCGGGATTCAGTTGTGAGGCCCAAAAAATGACGCCCGATAAAAGCCTCCTACGAAACTGAAAAAATTGAGGCCCAAAATGCCTTTTTTTCAAGCCCAATTATTTTAGGATTTTTGAAGCTTGGGCAGGATATTTCCCAGATTCCTTCTTAAAGTCCTAATTAATTGGGATTT